GTAAAATTTTTTGCCCTAGTAACTTCTTGGCCTCAGTAAAAAATTTCTGTGCCCCTCAGTAAAAATTTCTGTGTCTGTCCCAAAGTAAAAATTCTGTGACCCTAAGAAGTTTCAGGGCCCTGTAACGATTTGTGGCCCAAAGTAACGGGTTCTTGGCCCTAAATAACAATTCTGTGCCCTCATAAAATTCTGTTTTTCCCTAGAAAACAATTCGTTTTGCCCTAAGTAACTTTTGTGGCCCAAAGTAACGTTTCTGGGGCCCCTAAGTAACGATTCTGTGGCCCTAAGTAACGTTTTGGGGCCCCCAAAAGTAACGTTTCTGTGGCTAAGTAACGTTTCTGGGGCCCCTAAGTAACTTTTGTGGCCCAAAAGTAATTTTTTTTGCCAAAGTAAGTTTCTGTGGCCCAAAGTAACGTTTTGTGGCCCAAAGAAACCCCTTTTTGTGCCCTAAGTAACGTTTCTGGGGCCCTAAGTAACGTTTCTTTGTGGCCCTAACACTCTCCTCCCTAACTCTCTCCCTCCAATACAGCCAGGTCTGCCTCTGTTGAATGACTGGAGGGCAAAAGGAGAATTCTAAAATGGCCGCCATTTATAGCTCGACCATAACGACAGTGCTGGCTGGCTGCTGCTGATTGGCTAATGCGATCACATGTCATGAATGAATGCATTATGGGTCAGCCGCCTTGTCTGCGCGCTCCTTCCCAGACATCCCCGCTCCGTCGCCGCACATGTCGCCGCCATTTTAGGAAAAATTTTGATTCGCGCATCCGAAGTATGCTAATTTTCGGATTCGTCACGAATCGAAATTTTCCTAATATTCGAAACGAATTCCACTTCGCCTAGTTCGATTCGCTCATCTCTAATGCTGATGTAAGCCATTTCATAGATTCTTTTGTCTGTAGGATTTTTTTTTACCACACCTTCATTCTCTAAGGTAATGTGGCCAATGGTACTATTTTGTGTGTTTTTAATTGTTTTTAATGTCCTGGGGAGGGCATTTTTCAGGGGCAATCAACTAAATAAAGTTTTTTTTCATACATTTAAAGGGTAGCTCCATTTCATAGGAAAAAAAAGCAGCATATAAAAAAAAACTAGCATATACAATTGTGACAAAAGCTATATTGTAAATTAATGTTATTAAAAAATTACCGTTCCTTTTCAATCTGCAGCTCTGTAATTTTCTGTAACATTCAAAGCAATATTGCAACCTGGAGAAATTCTGTACACAGATGGTGTAGGGAACTCCCCCAGAACTGTAATTTCCTGCTTGTGTGATTGGCTTACTGATTTTCCTAGAAGTCTAAACTAAAGATACATGTCAGATTTTGGGGATCCCCTGCAACAAAAATGCCCCAAAGGGAAATCACATATAGGGGTGCAGACCCTGTGTCAGGAATGGATTCACCACTGGTGGTAGAACTCACCTGCCATGTGGGCTGCAGTACCAGGGCTGGCCAGCGGGTGCTTTCAGCAGCCAGAAGCTCACTCCTGCAATCAAACCATCACCTGAGGTGTATTTAAGGAATGGCCAGGCCTGCAGTCAGTGCCTTGGTGTTGTTTTCCCATGAGCCCCTGTACCTGGTATCCTGTGTTCCTGTTCCTCTGCCTATCTTCTGTTGCCGAACTCTGCATTGTTGCTGACCATCTCCTGTTTAACCCCTGGCTTGCCTGACCATCCTTCTGCCTGACCCTCTGTACCGAGCTGCCCGTGAGTTACTGAACCCGGCTTGTGACCCTGACCATTTCTCTGCCTGATCCTCTGTACCGCACTGCCCGTGAGTTACTGAACCCGGCTTGTGACCCTTGTGACTGCTCCTCCCGGTACCTCGCTGCCCGCACGTTGCTGACCTGGCCTGCCTGACTAACGCCTTACTCTACCCAGACGATCCATCCATCCATCCTGCACGGATCCAGCCATCCCTGCTCACACCTTCTGCCTCTTCACATCAGTATATACCTCTGGTGGATCCCTCTACCACGAGCAGGTGTACTCAGGGGCCGCGACCTGGTTCCTGTCTGCTCCAAGTCCATCCCCACCATCAGGGGCCCTGGTGAATAAGCAGACTGGGACTTAGACTCCGCTCCCTGGGGAATCCTGTCCTGAGGACTGCTAGAGGTACCACCAGACGGTCGTTAACAGAACCATATGGCCGGCATGACCATTCCAGCTCTCCAGTCCTGACTACGCCTGTGTTCCTGCACATACTAAGATTAGTGGAAGGTTGGTTTGTTTACTGTGCGTTGTATATTTGGGTGGCTAATAATAAATTGTATTATTATTATATCATTCCTGAAGCCTGTTACTTCCCTGTGTCAGTCCACATATTTCTGGTCATACCCGGATCCCTGACACCCTGCCACTTTTCTCATTAGAACACCGCAAGTTGCAGCAACTGATTTACAATTATAAAATCACTCCCATTCTCCTTTCTTTTGCGCATGGACACAGAAAACAAACAGCTTTTTCCTTAGAATAACAAAAGGTAGGAATCTGCAATAAAGTTTGTTAAATTCCCTGCAATGTGCATGGATCACCCAGAGGGGAATGTATTTTTTCCACAAAAATGGAGTTGTTCTTTAAAGTTATAATTGTTTTTTTTTTATTTTTGTCCCTACTTAAGTTAACTAAGTTTTGGTACCTATAAATACTCTAACTTTCTCAGTAAAATTAATAATAGAGAATGTTTGTTATATTGCAAGCAGTAATTCATGTGATATTGGTGGATGGTGTCTCATTTCAATTGCCTTCTTATTTATTATTTACACAGGATAAACCATTAATTTAGGTCTTTGGGTTGAACTATAGACAGCTGAGCATTATTGATAAAAAAAATATATATCCAATAAAAGTTTGGAACCGGGTTCCCGCCAGCTAGAGGAGTGCTGTGGGCTTTCTCTCTTCTCCTCCCCCTCACCTCTGTGTTCCCATCTTTGAGGAGCACCAAGCTGTGTGTCTTCCAGCCAGCCTCTCTCCCCTCGCTTCCCTGCTGTCTGATCAGAGTGGGTTGTGTGTCATTCCTCTGCTTGCTCCTGCTCTTTGCTCCCCTCCCTGCTGTCAGCAGCAGCTTTCAGCCAATCAGCAGAGAGGACTTGGGGTTGATTTAAATGACACTGGGACATATAGTGTTTAAAGGAGTGCTGTACAGTTGAGACTATGGTGGCGTATCCAGGACTCTCTGCTAACTAAAGATGGTGATCTTTTCCTGGGCAATTCACCAGTCTGGGAGTCTAGTGTGTGGAGCCAGAGTGTGCAGACCTGCTGATGTGCATATACACATAGAAAACTGATACAAAGCCATGGACTTTTTGAGGGTTGTGCATGTCGACAGTGGGAAAGGGCCTGATGGGGACTGGAACTACATGCTGCATCCATAGAGGCTGAGGACTGAGCCACTGATAGCCTCTGGTGATGCGAATTGTGGGGCACATAGCTGCTGCTCCTACCTGTCTAGACCCACCTTCAGAGAGACTGATTCTGAGAGAGCTAGTGAGAGTCTGAATGCTGAGACTGAGCCTTGTGAAAACTTGATTGTGAGGATCTGATTGTGAAGACTGAGCCTTCTGTTACAACAGACCGCTAAACGCATTGGACAGCACCCGTTCCTTGCCAGGGGTGGTAAATGGAACTACCAAACTTAATTCCTTACTGCCCACAGTTAATTACTATAAAGACTGCTCTTTACTTAGCAGCAAATCAGCCATCCATTGTCACATGCACCACCTTACAGATGGGCCCCAAGGACAGCCAGTTAATACTGACAATTTGGCATCAGTTTCTTTGTGACCATTGTCAGGGGACCCTCTTGTCAGGAATGCTTATACCAGACACCTTTTTTGGGTAAGTTAATGTCATTCATTTATACAAGTTAAAATTTGGTCTGCCTTCTCGCAGAACAGTTACTTGCCATATTATAAGACAGTGTTTACCCTAATTGGTTGAGCATCTTCAAATGTGTTCAGTTGCCTGTTTACTAATTCTTGCTTTGTTTAGCTGCCTTGCCCTAATACATCGATTTAATCAACCATCTTGTAGCTTATTTTCTATGCCCTGTTGTATATTGGCAGCATACTAACACTTGGGTTACACCGGAGTGAGCAGCCTTCAACCTACTGTATAACCAGGTGTGTCAGTAGGGACCAAGCAATTTAAAGAGTCACAGAACAAACATAGAACTCATCATACCAAGTTGCTCCTGTGGAAATATGCGCTACCGAAGTATGGCTACAAGTTTAATCCAGATAAAATCAAAGAGTGAGTGTTAACCTTGCCACAAACTCATTTCAATATTACAAGGCTTGATCCAAAGTCTTATTTACTTAGCTGTGAGAAAAGCATTGCACGATGAGTTTCTTCAGAGCCTGTTTCACATCTTGGTTCCTTAGGCTGTAAATAAAAGGATTCAGCAAAGGTGTAATGATGGTGTAAACCATGCTAACAATGCGATCATATTGGGAGGAGTAGTCTGAGGGAGGACGGAAGTAAATAAAAATGATGGTACCATAGAACAGACAAATCACCATTAGATGAGAGGAACAGGAGGAAAAGGCCTTGCTGGTCCTAATTTTCCAAATAGCCCTTGCAACTAGCACATAGGAAATAAGTATGAAAAGGAAAGTAATAATAATAGCAATAGAACCTTCGGTGTATATTAGGAGCTCAACTAGTTTAGTACTGGAGCAGGACAGTTTGATGAGGGGTGTCTCATCACAGAAAAAGTGGGGGATTAGTCTGTCCTCACAGTAGGTTAATTGTGACACAATATAAATGTGCAAAACTGAATGTAGAGCTCCACTGACCCAGCAACTACTAGCCAGCGTGACCACAACCAAATCATTTATTAACGATTTGTAGCGTAAGGGGTTACAAATAGCCAAATAACGATCAAACGCCATAACTGACAAAAAGAAAATCTCAGTGACCCCTAGAAACACAAAGAAGTACATCTGCAGGAAACAGCCAAAGAAGGAAATGGATGTTCTTCCATGAAGAAGGCCGGACAGAAGCTTGGGAATCGTCACTGTAGAGAACAAGATATCCACTACTGACAGATTCCCTAAAAAAGAGTACATTGGTGTATGCAACTCTGGAGAAAGTATGATAGAACTTAGTAAAAGTAAATTAGTAGTCCATGTGAGTGCATATATAACCAGAATGGTGGAGAAGAAAGCAGCGTGGTTGTAGTGAAGGTCTGAGAAGCCCAGAAGAATAAAACCAGAGGTTATATTTACTTTTTCCATCAAAAAGAGGAAGAGACATAATTGTTACCTCTACTGCAGAATGATATAAGAAGGCATCTAATCTCAAAGTGTTCATGCATACTTTATACAGATTCCTTAATTTACCATTGGTGCCAATGATAAACAAAAACATATCAAAACAAAAAGTATCCTATAAATACTACATATATTTCCATATCATATCCAATCTTCGGGAGGTTCCCAGTCTGAAAAAAAAAACTAATGCCATGACTGGATAGGAATAGTAATTTCTTCAGATTCCTCAGTGCGGGATTCTGATAAAAACTCTGCAAAATAAGTTTGCAATTCATACAAGTGTGTATATAACCAGAATGGTAAGGAGGAGAATAGCACAGTTGTAGTGAACATTAGAAAACTGCAAAAGAACAAAGTTTGTGGTTAGATGGGCTTTTTCCATGAAAATGATCTAGAATTATTATTATTATTATTATTATTATACAGTATTTATAAAGCGCCAATAGTTCGCTCAGCGCTGTACATTATAATGGGGGACAGAACATGTGACAGAACAATACCAATACAATGCAAAACATGAGGGGATCGAGGGCCCTGCTCTTTGGAGCTTACAATCTAGGAGGGAGGGGATGGTGGCACAGGAGGAGATAGCTGTGGGGGATGGAGTGGTAGGAAGAGTGGAGGAGGTCGGCAAGTTAGCAGGGGGTGGGGTAGGCTTCCCTGAAGAGATGGGTTTTCAGGGTGCGCCTAAAGGAGAGGAGAGTAGGTGATAATCTGATGGGTTGGGGCAGGGAGTTCCAGAGGATGGGTGACACCCTGGAGAAGTCCTGGAGGCGGGCATGGGAGGAGGAGACCAGGGAACTAGAGAGAAGGTCTTGTGAGGAGCGAGCTACGTGCATGCTGGGCGGTACTTGGATATTAGGTCAGTGATGTAGTTCGGGGCAGTATGGTGGACAGCTTTGTACGTTGAATTAAAGAGATATCAGGAGGAAATCAATAAAGGGGCTACACTAATGGGGTGAGGAATAGTAGCCAGGATAGTTAATTTGTTAATTGTTAAGTGTAAAGTTGTAGTCTTACCTGACTGGAAACTCAGCCACATGAGTAGGAGAAGTATGGGACTGCTAGGAGTCCTTTCTGGAAGGTTAACAAGGAAAGAAAGTGGTCCCATCCACTCTCCTTCTGTTAGAAGTGTGAAGCTCCCCTGTTCCATCACAACTGCTGCTCTCATTCCAGCATCCTGGTTTTGTTGAGATACATTCTCCCTGTCTGAAGTTGATTGATGTGGCCAGTCTCTGAGTGGAGATCAGACCTGATATAAGCCAGCCAAGCCTGTGGTTGTGATATTGTGTTTAGCATGTGCTCGCAGCTCCCTGCCTTGTCTGCTGTTGTTTGAATTCCCTTGTTTTATGACCTCATATTGGAACTCTTGACTAATCTTTGAACTCTTCCTGCCTTTTGACTATGGATTGACCCTGACTATTCTGTCTTGTACCTGGACTGTCATTAAACTACTCTGTCTGTCTGCCAACCGCAAGTATCTCTTTTCTCTGCTTAGTTCATGCCTACCCTGGCATTTTGGCCAGGCACTATAGCATTGTATATAAGTCCTGGAAGTAACCAAGTACTGTTAGGAACGAGTGCACAACTTACTCTTAATTGTGTTGTGTTAAAGCTCAATAGAAACTGCTCCCAAAACTTGTATGACTTGTATGAGAACCTAGAAACCACACCATAAAAGGAGCAGTTATCCAAACTGATAATAATAAGAGGACATCAGAGTCCAGAGTAAACAGGGGGACGTAAAACAGTAAATGCGTAAAAGTAGTGGCTTACATATAAAGGCTCCATACCGGCAGGCTCTGGATCGGTGGGCATACATTCATTACATGCCTACATCAGTAGAGTCTGTAGGAATGCTTCCGCCAGTACCTCAACACTACTTCCAGACATCACATTTGGTCCGTGGCTAAGTCACCTCCGGGACCCTGGAGGCTGCCAGATACATTCGCTTCTCCCCACTCACCTGGGGGTCACCTGGCATCCTAAATTTATCAACTACAATGAGGCCTGTGAGTCACCCATCCCTGGCTAGTGCCTTTCATCCACTCGTTCCATTCAATGGGTTTTTTTATGTGGGCATCTGTACTGTCTGCTACTACACGTTGCTGAACTGGAGCCTTTGTATGTAAGCTACTGCTTTTATGCCTTTAATAAAACTGTGACTGATTTATGCCCCCATTTTTATTGTGGACTCTAATGGATTCTTCTTATTATCAGTTTGGATAAGCACTCCTTTCATGGTGTGGTTTCTAGTTTCTCATACAAGTCATATAAGATTTGGGAGCAGTTTCTACTAAGCTTTAACACAACACAATCAAGAGTAAGTTGTGCTCCTGGTCCTATCAGTACTCGGCAGGGGCGGACTGACATCTCATGGGGCCCCCGGGCAATAGGGTATCATGGGGCCCCTGTGTCCTTGCCCAAACTCAAAAAAGCCTATGAAAAAGGTACCAGGGGCATCTCATGGGGCCCCCTACTGACCACGGGCCCTCAGGCAGTGCCCGAGTTTCCAAATGGTCAGTCCGCCCCTGGTACTCGGTTACCCCCATGATTTATATACAATGCTATAGTGCCTGGCTAAAATACCAGAGTAGGCATGAACTAAGCATAGAAAAGAGGTACTTGCTGTTTTATTCCCCCCTTTTTACTCTGGACTCTGATGTCCTCTTATTTTTACCAGTTTGGATAAGCACTCCTTTCATGATGTGGTTGCTTGCCTTACGGGAAAGAAACATACTCAAAAATAGAATAAAAGCCACCAAGAGGACCACACTAAATAGTCTCCTAGGAAATGATAAAAGTACAATAAATATACCATCAGCCTCTATACCACTGACTCACCATGCATAGGATTGGTGTGATCCACGTAACCCAGCATACACATAACTAAAACATGGGCTGAAAGAAACCCAAAAAGGAAGTTACCAAATGGACCAAGCAGCATATAATATGAGACTTTTTGAGAAATATAAGTATACAAAAAGTGAATATTAAAGAACATGAAATCACTTCCACCACCACATATAAATTAAAAAGACAACATTGTCTCATCACCACTGCAGCTGCTGTCACACACCATCCACTGATGGGGTAAGACACAGTTGTGTCAATAGGGAGTCTAGTGGGGATAAACAGACTAATGGGGCTCATTCTATGTCCACCAAATAAATGAGTGATGGAAATGCCTGATAATGTTCCAAAGCTGGATTTTATCCACACAGACCACAATCACCCCGGTGATTTATGACTAGATAAATATAAATATAGAACTGGTAAGTGATGGTGGAGCTAATGGAGGGCGATGAGTTCAAGCATAAGGGGCAGATAGTCTTGTCCACAGGATAACACACTCCAATGAGTCTCTCTGGTACCAGTCTGATCCCAAAAGTATAGCAATAAGAATATGAGGATTATAATGGAAAGCACTGAGCAAACTTTTGGCGCTATATAAATCCTGTATAATAATAATAATAAATTACCTAAAATAATGTATACCAAGTAGACCTGCTACCTAAACTGTATACTGTGGGGTCCAAACTGGCAGATCACGCAGCCTATGGAATCCAGCCATATTCCACCAGTGCTAGGGTGGAAGAACTGGTTTTCTGTAGTGCACCCGCAATCTGTCAGGTGGCTGTGTAGGGTGCCATTTCTAATGCCTGGACTGCCAGTGATTGTAGGAGCTTGAACTAGATGCATGGTAGTGAAACGTCGGTAGGAGTGGATGTTGTGCGTGGAGACATCACATACGTCACTTGCATGATGACATGCACTCTGACATGTTTTACCCAATCAGATTGGGCTTCTTCATTCCTTTGTCACCAGCTGCCCATGTCTGCTCTTTGGATTCCCCTGTTTTATGACCTCAGATTTGAAATCTGACTATTCTCTTAACTCTGCTTGTCTTTTGACTACAGATTGACTCTGACTATTCTGAACCTTGCCTTATTTGTACATGGCCTATCTTCCAACCACAAGTACATGTTTGTTACGCTCAATTCACCCCTGCCCTGTTGTGATGGTCATGCAATATAGAATTGTGTATAAGTCCTGGGGCCAACCAAATACAGGTAGGCATGCTTGCCTTATTAGAAAGGGAGCTGCTATAGGTGAAGAGCACAGAAGTCAGCTCTAGTGTCTTACCACCTGTGCTAGGGGAAAGCGTGAAACCTTCATCAATGTTTTGGATTTACATGTGATTGCCAAGGCAACTTGCTGAGTTGGGGGGTCTTTAGAAATCT